GGTTGAGTAGCATTGTAAATACAGGTTGAGTAGCATTGTAAATACAGGTTGAGTATTCCTTATCTGAAATGCCTGGGACCAGAAGTGTTTCTGATTTCAGAATATTTGTATTTACTGGTCGAGCATTCCTAATCCCAGAGTTCAAAATCTTGAAATGCTCCAATGAGCATTTCCTTTGAGTGTCATGTCAGTGCTTGAAAAGTTTTGGATTTTGGAGTATTTTTTATTTTTGGATTAGAGATACTCTACCTGCATTTAACTTAACCCACATAATCATCTTTGATTTTACCTCTTTTTGGGAGCTCCTGTGCCCAGCTACGGAGGCATAAACATGTGCTAGTGGTTGGCACACCGCAGTTCCCTGGAACATACTAGTGTTTGTGAGCATGATGGGAGGTCCACTTGGGTAGGTGTGCCATCAGGAAGACAGGTACGCCCTGCAAGAAGCTCAGATTCTGAGGGAAGCAGGCAAATTAAACGCTTTTGATACCCTCTGTGACCCTTGCCTTTGGGTCCCAGTCTTGCACAGTTCCAAACTCCATGCCAGCAGCCCATCTCACGCAGTATACTGTTTGCATTTTGTTTGTTTTGTTTTGGAGATGGGATGTTTTCTGCCACCCGGGCTACAATGCAGGGGCGTGATCATAGCTCAGTGCATCCTCGAACTCCTGGGCTCAAGGGATCCTCCTGCCTCAGCTTCCCAACTAGCTGGTACTACAGGCATGCACCACCATGCCTGGCTAATTTTTAATTTTTATTTTTAGTTAGAGACCAGGTCTTGCTATGTTGCCTAGGTTGGTCTTGCACTCCTGGTCTCAGGCGATCTTCCCATCTAGGCCTCTCAAAATGCTGGGATTATAGGCGTGAGGTACCATGCCCAGCCCCCTGTTTGGGCTTTGAGGTTTTTTTCTCCTCTGCTAGGCCACAGGCTCCTATGTCATCCTGCCATTCCCAGAGCCTAGTGCTGTGCCTGGCTCAGGGTAGGCCCTTAGCAGATGATGGTTAATGAGCATGCTTCTCCTCTTTTTCCAGTTTCAGGCTTTCTCTCTCCCTCTCTCTTTTTTTTTTTTTTTTCTTTTTTTTTTTTTTTTTTTGAGACGGAGGCCTGCAATCTTGGCTCACTGCAACCTTGGTCTCCTGGGTTCAAGCCGTTCTCATGCCTCAGTCTCCTGAGTAGCTGGGATTAGAGGCATGTGCCACCACACCCTGCTAATTTCTGTATTATTTAGTAGAGATGGGGTTTTGCCATATTGACCAGGCTGGTCTCAAACTCCTGGCCTCAAGGGATCTCCCACCTTGGCCTCCCAAAGTGCTGGGATTATAGGCATGAGCGACTGCGCCCGGCCCACATACATATTGTCTGTTAGAGTCGTGACAGGTCTTCCCGATCAATCTATTTCTCATATGTACATTTTCTTTCCTTTGTTCTTTAGTTACATGGTGATGAATTTTGTCCTGTTTTGGATGCAACATTTGTAATGGTGGCTCGTGATTCTGAAAATAAAGGGTAATTGCTATTTTTTCATAATTCTTTATTTTGAAGAATTTCAAAGATACATAAGCCTAGAGAGAAGACTATAATGAATGTCCATATACCTGTCATTTGGACTTTACAGTTTTAATTGCAATATTTTGGCCATTCTTGTTTCATCTGTTGTTTAAAGAATATTTATATTTTAAGGCAAGTCCCAGACATAATGACATTTCACTCTTAAATACTTTAGGCATCTTTTAAAAAATAAGAATATTCTCAGACCAGGCGAGGTACCTCATGCCTGTAATCCCAGCACTTTGGGAGGCCAAGGCTGGTGGATCACTTGAGGTCAGGAGTTTGAGATCAGCCTGGCCAACATGGTGAAACTCCACCTCTACTAAAAACACAAAAATCAGCTGGGCGTGGTGGCACGCGCCTATGATCCCAGCTACTGGGGAGGCTGAGGCACGAGAATCATTTGAATCTGGGAGGTGGAAGTTGCAGTGAGCCGAGATTGCACCATTGCACTCCAGCCTGGGCAACAGACGAGACTCTACCTCAAAACAACAACAACAAAAAGAGATGTTGCACAATTCTGTGAATACACTAAAAACCATTAAATTGTACACTTTCAATGGGTGAATTGTGTGGTATGCAAATTATACCTCAATAAAGCTGTTACCAAAAAAAAGAAAATGAAAAACAGACTTACAGGCATAAAAATCAAATGTAATATGTGGACCATATTTGGATCCTGATTTGAACAAATCATTCAAAATATATTTGGAGAAAACTGGATATGAATTAATATTAGAATATATCAAGGGCTTACTATTTTTGTTAGGCATGACAGTAATAATGTAGTTACTTAAGAGAATATTATCCTTTTTTTTTAAGATGGAATTTTGCTCTTGTTGCCCAGGCTGGAGTGCAATGGGGGGATCTCGATTCACTGCAACCTCCGCCTCCCGGGTTTGAGCGATTCTCCTGCCTCAGCCTCCTGAGTAGCTGGGATTACAGGCATGTGCCACTATGCCTGGCTAATTTTTAGTAGAGATGTGGGTTTCACCATGTTGCCCAGGCTGGTCTTGAACTCCTGACCTCAAGTGATCCACCCACCTCAGCCTCCCAAAGTGTTGAGATTACAGGCGTGAGCCACCGCGCCCAGCTGAGTTGTGCAATCTCTTAAATCTTTTTTAATCCAGAACAGGTGTGTCTTCCCCTATTGTTTCTTATTCACTCGTTGAGAGGCTGGATCATTTGTTCTAAATAGTGTCCCACTTTCTGGATTTGTCTTATTGCTTTCTCATGGTGGTTGGTTTGTTTTTTACTATCCCTAGTAATTTCTCTAAACTGAAGTTAGATCTAAAGCCTTGTATTAGATTTCGGTTGAGCATATTTGGTGAGAGTACTACATAGGTGATGTTGTATATCTCATATCTCATGTTGCATCATATCAGGAGGTACAAGTTGTCCCACTCACAGTGATGCTAAGATTGGTGTGGGGGTTCAAGCAGTTACAGCCTAATCTCCTCTTTGTGAAGTTCAGTTTTTCCTCTTCTGATCAGCAACAATCTACAGGGGTTTCCTTTGTCATCCTGCAAATAGCTGAGTTTCCCATCAGTCTTTTTCCAGTGCTTTCGACGTCCACTGCTGATCATTGCTTTAATCACTATCATGAGGCAGTTTAGAGTAATTCTCAAATTTTGTCATTCCTTCTACATTTATTAGCTGGAATTCTGTAAAGAAGAGCTTTCCCTTAACAACTAGGGCAATTGGGTTTGAAATGGAGAGTTAGGATCAATGCTTCATTCTTTTATTTACATGTTTTCAGAATAAGGAGTTGGTTCACTAGCTGGTGATGACATGCCTTTCCCAGTTTTTTGGTTTTTTAGAAAAGTATCATGTTTTTAAATTTCTTTTTTTTTTTTTTTTTTTTTGTTTTGTTTTTCTGTGTGTATGTGTTTTTGAGATGGAGTCTCGCTTGGTCACCCATGCTGGAGTGCAGTGGCGCGATCTCGGCTCACTGTAGCCCCTGTCTCCTGGGTTGAAGAGATTCGCCTGCCTCTGCCTCCCGAGTAGCTGGCACTGCAGGCATGCACCACTATGCTTGGCTGATTTGCTTTGTATTTATAGTAGAGATGGGGTTTCACCATGTTGGCCGGGCTGGCCTCGAACTCCTGACCTCAAGTGATCTGCCCACCTAGGCATTCCAAAGTGCTGAGATAACAGGCGTGAGCCATCACGCCCAGCCCCAGTTTTTTTTTTTTGAGATGAGGTTTTGCTCTTCTGTCCAGGCTGGAGTGCAGTGTCATGAGCACTGCTCACTGCAGCCTGGGCCTCCTGTGCTCAAGCAATCCTTCCGCCTCAGCCTCCTGAGTAGCTGGGACCACAGGCGCATACCACTATGCGCAGCTAATTTTTTTTCTTTCTTTCTTTTTGAGATGGAGTTTCATTCTTGTTACCCAGGCTGGAGTGCAGTGGCACAATCTTGGCTCACTGCAACCTCCACCTCCCGGTCCAAGCGATTCTTTGGCTTCAGCCTCCTGAGTAGCTGCCAAGCTAATTTTTAAACTTTTTGTAGAGATGGGGTTTTGCCATGTTGGCCAGACTGATCTCAAAATCCTGAGCTCAAGTGATCTTCTCGCCTCGGCCTCCCAAAGTGCTGGGATTACAGGCGTGAGACACTGTCCTGCCAGAAAAGTATCATTATGAATTCATGGTTTTAATATGTTTTATGTATTTCAATAAATTGCAGCCATCGTTTCTCTTGATGCTCCAAGTGTACCATCTTTGGGCAGTGGGAGTCCTCTAAGCTTGCTCCTTTCCACCTGTCTCTTTCCACCTGATACCTTCCTGCTCTCTGACACAAGATGGCTGGGGCTCATCTTACATATTTCCTGCCTCAGGCCTGGTGTCATCCATTTCTCCAAGTCGTTCTGGGGTTTCTTTTAGTGGGAACTGGTATTTAGACCTCAAAATCTGGGCACTAGAACAGTACATTGTTACTAGTTTGTTATTGTTTCTAGGCCTTTTCAGTGGACAGAGCTAGGATATATTTTAAACAAACAAAAAGCCTCATGAAGGCTGGATGTGGTGGCTCATGCCTGTAATCCCAGCACTTTGGGAGGCCAAGGTGGGCAGATCACTTGAGCCCAGGAGTTTGAGACCAGCCTGGGCAACATGGCGAATCCCCATCTGTACTAAAAGTACAAAAAATTAGCCAGGTGTGGTAGCATGTGTCTGTAGTCCCAGACGATGTGGGAGGCTGAGGTGGGAGGATCACTTTAACCTGGGAAGCAGAGGTTGTAGTAAGCCAAGGCTGTACCACTGCACTCCAGCGTGGGCGACAGAGCAAGACCCTGCCTCAAAAAAAAGCCTCATGGTCATTTTCAAGTCAGATTTAACCATATAGACTTCAACTTACTTTACGTCATCTTTTTTTCTCTTAAATTGAATTATTGGTTTCTAACAACAGTTACACCCAAACTGAGAAAAACTAATTGTGTGGGTAGAGCTGGGGTGGGAGGAATTGCTCTTTGCACGGGACAGAGATCAGTGGCCTATGGGAAATCTCGTTTGTATTAGAAACTTGATTTAGGAGTCTGCAGTGAAAAATCTTTGCTGCTGCATGGAAAGCTGACTTGGAAAGTCAAATTAAGATAGAAAAATATGTTGGTCATGGCCGGGCGCAGTGGCTCAAGCCTGTAATCCCAGCACTTTGGGAGGCCGAGACGGGCGGATCACGAGGTCAGGAGATCGAGACCATCCTGGCTAACCCGGTGAAACCCCGTCTCTACTAAAAAAATACAAAAAACTAGCCGGGCGAGGTGGCGGGCGCCTGTAGTCCCAGCTACTCGGGAGGCTGAGGCAGGAGAATGGCGTGAACCCGGGAGGCGGAGCTTGCAGTGAGCAGAGATCCGGCCACTGCACTCCAGCCTGGGCGACAGAGCGAGACTCCGTCTCAAAAAAAAAAAAAAAAGAAAAATATGTTGGTCACTTAGTGATCTGAAGGAAGAATAACACCCGTCTACTCTGGCCCTTCCTGCCAGCCCCAGCTGACCTTCTGTGGCCAGTGACTGGCCTGGGGCTTCTATTCAAGCACTGACGCCATTGCTGCAAGTTTCACTCCCAGCTGATGCATGTCACTTTTCCAAGCTGTTGTTTCAATTCTTTTGTTTTTTTGTTTTCAAGACAGAGGTTGGCTCTTGTTGCCCAGGCTGGAGTGCAATGGTGCAATCTTGGCTCACCGCAACCTCTGCCTCCTGGGTTCAAGTGATTCTCCTGCCTCAGCGTCCCTAGTAGCTGGGATTACAGGCACCCACCACCACACCCAGCTAATTTTTGTATTTTTAGTAGACATGGGGTTTCACTGCGTTGACCAGGCTGGTCTCGAACTCCTGACCTTAGGTGATCCACCTGCCTTGGCCTCCCGAAGTGCTGGGATTACAAGTGTGAGCCACTGCCCCCGGCCTGTTTCAATTATTTTGTTTCCATTGTTGTTTCATCAAATCTTTGGATTCTACCACGGTGAAGTATTATCCCTTTTCCCTTATTTTTTATTTCAAGAAATTTGATGCTTACAGAAAAGTAGAAAGAATAATGCAACAAACAAATGCCTTTCACCTAAATTGTATTACATTTGCATTATTCTCTTAACCTCTCTCTATAAATACACATATTTACATATTTTTTCCCATGAATCATTGGAAAGTAAGTTTGAGACTGCTTCACCCATTCAGGAGTTCAGCATCTATTTCCTAAGAACCAGGTATTTCTACATAACCTCAATGCCTTTATTATATCTGAGAAATTTAACAGTGATACAATTATTTAATATGTGATCCGTATTCAGATTTCACCAGTTGTCCCTAAAATGTCCTTTATAGCTATCTCCCTAATTCAGGACCCAATCCATCAAGGATTGTATATTGCATTTGGTTATCCTGTTTCTTTTGAATAGTCTCTATGCCATTTGCTGTCTTTCAAAAATTGATATTTTTAAAGAGTCCAAGCCAGTTTTCCTTTCCCTTTTTTTCTTTCTTTTTTTGAGACAGAGTTTCGCTCTTGTTGCCCAGGCTGGAGTGCAGTAGCACGATCTCGGCTCACCACAACCTCCGCCTCCCAGGTTCAAGCAATTCTCCTGCCTCAGCCTCCCGAGTAACTGGGATTATAGGCATGTGCCACCACGCCCGGCTTAATTTTGTGTTTTTAGTAGAAACCAGGTTTCTCCATGTTGATCAGGCTGGTCTGGAACTCCCAACCTCAGGTGATCCGCCCAGCTTGGCCTCACAAAGTGCTGGGATTACAGACGTCAGCCACCATGCCTGGCCTAAAGCCAGTTTTCTTGTGGAATGTTCTACAACCTATATTTGACTATTTCCTCATGATTAGAATCAGGTTAAACATTTCGCAATTGCCATTATCCTTTTTATAATGTGAAGTTTCTAGTGTGCAATTAAGGCTGTAACCGTAAGGCTTCCCTAATTGTTCCAGCGTTCACGTGTAAGGCAAGCAGTAAGCACTACCCAAAATGAAAAGCAGATTCTTTAAAACTAGTAGGTGATTAGTAAAACTAGTAGGTGATTAGATGAACTAGTAAGTTCATCTTCAAGTTTTATTAGATAATGGCGTATCTTAAATTATATATATTTTTTTCTTCTTTTTAGGCCGGCATTTGTAAATCCACTCATCCTTGAAAGCCCAGAGGAAGAGGAGCTCTTTAGACAAGGAGAATGTACATTAATTTGTTTATAATAAAATAAATTTGAAAAGCACATTAATTACACTGAAGAAGAGATTATTTAAGATTTTATATGGATTCTTCGAACCAGTCAAATGTCTTTTGTTTGTTTTTTTTTTTTTTGAGATGGAGTCTCTCTGTGTCGCTAGGCTGGAGTGCAGTGGTACCATCTCGACTCACTGCAACCTCTGCCTCCTGGGTTCAAGCGATTCTTCTGCCTCAGCCTCCCGAGTAGCTGGGACTACAGGTGTGTGCCACCACACCCAGCTAATTTTTGTATTTTTAGTAGAGATGGGGTTTCCCCATGTTGGCCAGGATGGTCTCGATCTCCTGACCTTGTGATCTGCCTGCCTTGGCCTCCCAAAGTGTTGGGATTACAAGCGTGAGTCACTGTGCCTGACCCAAATGTCTTATTCATACCAATAATTTATTGAAATTAAAAATATGCTATTCTTTGTTCTTTGGAGTCCTTTGAATGATTTTATTGATCAGACAATATTTATTAAGTGAAGTAATTTGTTATCTCAGGTTTTTTTGTTGTTGTTGTTGTTTTTTGTTTTTTTTTTTAAAGACGGGTTTTTGCTCTGTTGCCCAGGCTGGAGTTGGGCTTGGGTCCAGGAGTTTGAGGCTGCAATGAACTATATTGTAGCCTCGACCTCCTGGGCCCAAGCTATCCACCACCTCAGCCTCCCGAGTAGCTAGGACTATAGGCACATGCCACCGTGCCTGGCTAATTAAATTTTTTTTTTTTTTTAGAGACAGGGGTCTCACTATGTTGCCCAGGCTGGTCTTGAACTCCTGGGCTCAAGCGATCCTCCTGCCTCAGCCTCCCAAAGTGTTGGGATTACAGGCATGAGCCACTGCACCTGGCCTGTTTTCTCCGTTTTAATGAAGTGAGAAATGCATCTTGATGGGATAACTGCAGGTCAGAGCTCTGGATCAGGATGATATCAAGTGATCTCACACTGAACCAATATAATTTCCACGTGGAACCAAAGACTCACTGGGAGTTTTATGTGGCCTCTGCAGTTTTCTCTTGGATATGTGTATAATTTTCAGTGAGATTTTGAATGGCACCCCAGGTCAGAACGCCCTGTGCTGTAGTGTGACCCTCCTGATCATTGCTCCTTATTCTCCCATGTTTCAGTGAACAAGGGGAGAAGAATTGCCTTCAGTTCCACGTCGTTACTGAAAATGGCCCCCAGCGCTGAGGAGAGGACCACCATACATGAGATGTTTCTCAGCACACTGGATCCAAAGTAAGGATGGTGAGATTCCATGTTGGAAAAACATTTAAACCTTGGCCTTTTTTTTTTTTTTTTGAGACACAGTTTCTTTCTTGCTACCCAGGCCAGAGTGCAATGGCATGATCTCAGCTCACCACAACCTCTGCCTCCTGGGTTCAAGCAATTCTCCTGCCTCAGCCTCTGAGTGGCTTGGATTACAGGCATGGACCTCCACGCCTGGCTAATTTTGTATTTTTAGTAGAGATGGGGTTTTTCCACATTGGTCAGGCTGCCTGCCTCGGCCTCCCAAACTGCTGGGATTACAGGCATGAGCCACCACACCCGATCTTTTTTTTTTTGAGATGGAGTCTTACCCTGCCACCCAGGCTGGAATGCAGTGGCATGATCTTGGCTCACTACAACCTCTGCCTCCCGGGTTCAAGTAATTCTCCCATCTCAGCCTCCCAAGTAGGTGGGATTACGGGTGCCTGTCACCACGCCCAGCTAATTTTTTTTTTGTATTTTTAGTAGAGATGGGGGTTTCACCATGTTGGCCGGGCTGGTCTCAAGCTCCTGACCTCAGGTGATCTGCCAGCCTCGGCCTCCCAAAGTGCTGGGATTACAGGCATGAGCCACCGTGCCTGGCCTAAACCTTGGCCTTCTTTAGAGCCACAGTTGTCTGAGTGTATTGGGAGTGACTTGCAAATGTTTTTACTTTTCAACAAGAGAACCATGGCATTAACAGGGTTTAATAAATATTCATTTGTATAGGACTATAAGTTTTCGGAGTCGCGTTTTGCCCCCTAATGCGGTGTGGATGGAGAATTCAAAACTGAAGAGTTTGGAAATTTGCCACCCTCAGGTATTATAATTTAGTGAGAAATCTGAATAGGATAGCTTCCATTCATGATATTTGTCCAAGATTTTGACACACCTTTAAACTGGCCTTTGTCCTGTGGCATTGTTAATTCCTCTGTTCTGTATACAAAGGTGGCCGTAAGTTTGTATTCATTGATATTTATTTATGTCCTGTAGGAGCGGAACATTTTCAATCGGATCTTTGGTGGTTTCCTTATGAGGAAAGCATATGAACTTGGGTGGGCTACTGCCTGTAGCTTCGGGTGAGTTATATGTAAGGCAGTCTTAACTTCTGAGAAGCAATTTATATCACCCCACTGAAATGAAACATTTCAGACCAGTCTGGGTGTGTGTGGGAATATGTTATGTTTTTAAATGAATACCACACTGATACCAGCTGAGTTTGATCTTCATTTTAGAAGGTTGTTTCTGACTTTGTAAGTTCATACATTTGAAAAACCACTGAGAAAATACAGTGATGATATGTAGGAGGGAAAAGATACAGTTATTTTGGCCCTAATCTGCTCACGATGGCATCTCTTACCATTCCTCACTGGTAGGATCTTTTCCCCCTTGTCTAAGTTTATTCTTCATTCATTGTTATTTTGCTTCAGCTAGTTGTTAGGGAAAAAAATTGAGATCATCTGAATTTTGTAGTATACCCCAAATTCTGTCTTTTCCCCCAATAGTGGTTCTCGGCCGTTTGTGGTAGCAGTAGATGACATCATGTTTCAGAAACCTGTTGAGGTTGGCTCATTGCTCTTTCTTTCTTCGCAGGTAGGTGTGTGATGAGAGTTGACATACAACTTTTTTTTTTCATTTGAGCCTGGAAGTTTCTATATCCAAAAGCCACTGTTTTCTCTTATGACTGTCTTTTTCCCCTTCCTAATGCAGTTGACTGACTATAGTGTCTATAATCTGTTAGGTATGCTTTACTCAGAATAATTACATTCAAGTCAGAGTACACAGTGAAGTGGCGTCCCTGCAGGAGAAGGAGCATACAACCACCAATGTCTTTCATTTCACGTTCATGTCAGAAAAAGAAGTGCCATTGGTTTTCCCCAAAACATATGGAGGTAAGTAGTGATTATTGCTTGTCCCTAACAAAGGGAAGAACTTCTAAGGACATTTTTCTCCTTTTGAATTGTAGGAAGTGTATTGATGCCTGTCAGCACAAGAGCATGTCTTTAGGAGATTTTGGTTTTGAGATTTGGCAGCCCTGAAGACCAAAGATGCCTGTGGCCCCCAGGCAGGCAAGCAGCCACTGGCAGTCAAAAACTGATCCAGCCAAAGGAAGGGGACAGGAGTCATGGCCTGCTCCTTTGGGAATGTGGCACACCCCTGGCCCAACAATGCATCTTGTTCTGTCCCAGTGTTCCCAAGTAGTCTTGTGTTTATATGGTGGTTTTCTAAGGTGTTACAAGTTTCTCCAGGGTTCTCTCTTGTGTTTCAGAGTCCATGTTGTACTTAGATGGGCAGCGGCATTTCAACTCCATGAGTGGCCCAGCGACCGTAAGAAAGGACTACCTTTGGAACCCTAGGAACACCACATTTGTTGAAAACTAGCACTCCACCCACAGTGACGTGGTATCTGATGAAGACCTGATCGAGTGTTTTGGTTTTAGTGTTGCATCTTATCCTCCATTACAGGAGGAGGATGTATTCAGCCTTTAGGATGATCAGAAAAGCAGAAAGAGAGAGTGGCCAGATGGGGCTGAGGGGAGAAAGAATTATTAAACAATAAATACTTTCAAAACAATTTTTTAATTATGAACCTACCATGTTGCCTCCTATCTTCTAAAAAAACAAACAAACAAAAAATTGAAAGACTGGGTGCGGTGGCTCATTCCTATAATCCCAGCACTTTGGGAGGCTGAGGCAGGTGGATCATGAGGGTCAGGAGATCAAGACCATCCTGGCCAACATGGTGAAACCCCATCTCTACTAAAAATACAAAAAATTAGCCGGGTGTGGTGGCGTGTGCCTGTAGCCCCAGCTACTTGGGAGGATGAGGCAGGAGAATTGCTTGAACCCAGGAGGTGGAGGTTGCATTGAGCTGAGATCGCACCACTGCACTCCAGCCTGGGTGACAGAATGAGACTCTGTCTCAAAAATAAATAAATTAATTGAGAATACCATTGGATTCATTCTTTTCTTACACATGTTGCAACTGTCAGTATACAAGGTTTCCTGCCAGGGTGTTTGGATGACATTCTTTAAACCTAACCAGTTCCTCTGTGCTGTCTAAATCCCATCAGCCATACATGATTCCTTTGCTTCCCTCTATTTCCCAACTTTTGTTGTCAGAGGGTAGATGAAACGTTGGGGTGAAGGGATTTAACAAAAGATACTGCATCTGTAAAGATTTGTGGGAAGATTTGGGTCTGAAACCATACCATGAGGAGGTGTGTAGAGATGATCTAGATAAGGAAAAACACAGGACCATTTGGTCATTCTTTCATTCACCGGACAGCTATTTAGCACATTCTGCTGGTGGCTAGGCAGGATATATCTGATTTAAAAAATAGGAACCACAATAATAATAGCTGCTTACGTTTATGGAGCATTGCCATGTGCTAGGTAGGCACCATCCTCAGCACTTGGCAGGTCTGAGCTCCTTTATTTCTTCCAATCAACACTATGAGGCACGTTCTGTAACCCCCTCTTAGGGTTAGGCCATTCAGGAAACTGAAGCACAAGAGAGCTTAAGTAACTTGCTCGAGGTCTGATGTGTAACATGTGGAGGTGCTGGGATTCAAAACCGGGCAATGTGGGTCCAGGGCACTCTGACCAGTACCTGTACTGCTTTCAAGGAATAGAGCAAGAGAGGTCATACCTAATATCACAGTGTCACCTAGGAAGCCCAAGGGAGGCATTCCCGTTAATCTGCCTCCTAGGTGGCAGGGCGTGGTAGCTCATACCTGTAATCCCAGCACTTTGGAGGCCGAGGTGGATGGATCATGAGGTCAGGAGTTCAAGACCAGCCTGGCCAAGATGGTGAAACCCCGTTTCTACTAAAAATACAAAAATTAACCAAGCGTGGTGGTGGATGCCTTTAATCCCAGCTACTCGGGAGGCTGAGGCAGAGAATTGCTTGAACCCGGGAGGCGGAGGTTGCAGTGAGCCAAGATTGTACCACTGCACTCCAGCCTGGGTGACAGAGCGAGACTCCATCTCAAAAAAAAAACAAAACCCCCAAAAAATCAGCCAAGACCGCTTCTTTTTCAACAGGAAGGTAACTTAGAAAAAAAAATAATCTCTGGGAAAAGTGCTCCCAAGAAGGAAGCAATATTTACTGTGGGTTCTACATTAGTGTTCACAAACTTGGCTCTGCCTCAGAATTAGGTGGAAAGCTTTTTTTTTTTTTTGAGACAGAGTTTTACTCTGTCACCCCGGCTGGAGTGCAGTGGCACGATCTCAGCTCAATGCAACCTCTGCCTCCTGGGTTCAAGCAATTCTCCTGCCTCAGCCTCCTGAGTAGCTGGGATTACAGGTGTCCGCCCCAACGCCTGGCTAATTTTTGTATTTTTAGTAGAGACGAGGTTTCACCATGTTGGCCAGGCTGGTCTCGAATTCCTGACCTCAGGTGATCCACCTACCTTGGCCTCCCAAAGTGCTGGGATTACAGGCGTGAGCCACTGCACCCGGCCAGTGGAAAACATTTTTAACAAAAAATTTTTAGGCCAGGCACAGTGGTGGCTCATGCCTGTAATGTCAGCACTTTGGGAGACTGAGGTGGGAGGATTGCTTGAGACCAGCCTGGGAAACATAGTGAGACCCTGTCTCTACAAAAAGTTAAAAAATTATCCGAGCATGGTGGTGTGCACCTGTAGTCCCAGTTAGGAGGCTGAGGTGAGTGGATTGCTTGAGTCCAGGAGTTTGAATCTGCAGTGAGCTATGATCATACCACTGCACTCCAGCCTGAGTGACAGAGCAAGACCCTGTCTCAAACAATTTTTTATATTAGTTTATGTAATGTTTATTGAAATCACAGTGTCAACAAGCACCTCCAGCATGAAATAGTCACAGGAGCAAACACAACTATCTCTTGGAAGCATGCAGTTTGACTCATGGAATCAAGTATATGCTGTACTGTAATAACTTGTCTCTCCATGCTGGAATGCCATCCTGACTGAGATTTACCTGGCCCTTCAATACAGCATTTTGCGTATCTACGTATGACTTGATGGGGGGGTGGCTAATGGGGAGGGATGCACCCTGAGGAGTTTTGTGAATGTGTTAAGTGGAGTTAAGAGACCTACTGCATGCTATTGTATATATTATATATTATATATTTAACCATTTGCTGCTGTACACTGAAGCTTTTTCTAGTATTTCCTTTTTGCTATTATAAACAATGTTGCAGTAAATATCCTAAATACTCTAAAACATTTGACCCTTAAATTGTTTTCTTTGGAAAAATATTAAATGAGATATTTAGGTCAAATAGTAGGCACACGTTGAAGGCTTTGAATATGTATTTCATGTGACCCTTCAGAACAGTTTCACACAATCACTGACACATTGGCAATTTCCCTGAACTTTGCCAATTTTTATCTTTTCTTTTAAAAATATCTTTGCCATTTTGATAGGTGAAAAATGACATTCTGCTGGATGTGGTGGCTCATAATTTTGTGGTGGCACTTTGGGAGGCCAAGGCAGGCAGATTGCTTGAGGTCAGGAGTTCAAGACCAGCCTGGGCAACAGGGTGAAAACCTCTTTCTACAAATATACAAAAATTAGCAAGGTGTTGTAGTCTCGCCAATGCACCAAAATGTAGCCATCTCTGGTTGTCTGAGATAGTATCCAGAGTTCTTTGTCTCATGGAGCACAAACACAAGGGTGAGGTTGGAGTGAAAGTTTAAGAAGCAAAATAAGAAAGCTCTCCGCTGGGTGCGGTGGCTCACACCTGTAATCCCAGCACTTTGGGAGGTCGAGGTTGGTGGATCACCTGAGGTCCGGAGTTCGAGACCAGCCTGACCAACATGGAGAAATCGTGTCTTTATTAAAAACACAGAATTAACTGGGCGTGGTGGCACACGCCTGTAGTCCCACCTACTCGGGAGGCTGAGGAGAATCGCTCGAACCCGGGAGGCGGAGGTTGTGGTGAGCCAAGATCGCGCCAATGCACTCCAGCCTGGGCAACAAGAGCAAAACTCCATCTCAAAAAAAGAAAAAAAGAAAAAGATAAAAAGAAAGAAAGCTCTCCGCAGCGGAGAGTGGGGGCCTGAATGGGTTGCCCACTATGAGGCTGGGGTCGGGGGTTTTTGCGGACTGGGAAGGGGAAGGAATTTGCTTAGTCTGCGAGCTGTCTTGGAGAAAGTGAAATTCAGCTTGGCCCGGGACCAATCAGGAGCTAAATTGATGATTCATTGGGGCTACTCAGCTTGGCCCGGGACCTATCAGGAGCTGAAGTGAAAGCTTGGCCCGGGACCAATCGTGCTGAAGTAATTCTTAGAGGCCAGGCTCAACACTGGAAAAACGAAAGGGCCCACCGGAGTCGTCGGAGCCCACAGTGTTCATGCCTACAAAAGGAGAAGAAACTTTTTCCTGGGAACCAGATGATTATACAAAAGACAAAGACATTTCTATGTCAGGTCTTGTTCCCTTATCTGAGTGAGCCGGAGGTTTGTGCAAGTTTTTATCTGAGTGGGCTGGAGGTTCTCCGATCTGTGCAGCCGCGGGCTTGTCTCCAGGCACACCACCACCCTGTGCTAGTTCCCTTATCGGTGCCTGCAGCTTGATTTTTATCCCCAGGCTGCTTTTTATGTTATGTGGGGATAAGGCACTGACCCGTGGGTTGGGGGCTCTTTGGGGACCCTCCCCTTGCTGTCTACCTAAGGAAAGCTAACTAACTCCTCTCAGCGTGATGGTGCACACCTGTAGTCCCAGCTACTCAGGAGGCTGAACTGGGAGCATCGCTTGAGTCCAGGAATTTGAGGTTGTAGTAAGCCAAGATCACGCCACTGCACTCCAGCCTGGGCAACAAGTGAAACCCTGTCTCAAAACAAACAAACAAAGCAAAAACAAAACCCCCTGATATTTGTTAATTGCCTTTCTTTGAATTCTACTGAGATTGAAATTAAATTGCTTATTGTCTTTTTTGTCTTTTTGTTAAATTGTTCACGTAATTTTGGATACCAGAATCTTCACCCCAAATCTGGCATCTACCAATACAGATATAAAAGCTAGAGGTTTTTATTTTTAATACAGGACTTTAAGAAGATGAGATGAAGCAAACTAAAGGATATACACTAGGTTCTGGATTATTAGTGTTATGTCCCTCTCAAAGAATAAAGGAGAATTTTTGGCCGAGGACGGTGGCTTCGTCTGTAATCCCAATACTTTGGGAGGCCGAGGTGGGTGGATCACCTGCAGTCAGGAGTTCAAGATCAGCCTGGCCAACATGGTGAAACCCCGTCTTTAACAAAAATACAAAAATTAGCTGGGCATGATGGCAGGTGCCTGTAATCCCAGCTACTCAGGGGGTTGAGGCAGGAGAATCGCTTGAACCTGGGAGGCGGAGATTGCAGTGAGCCGACATTGCGCCATTGCACTCCAGCCTGGGCGACAGAGCGAGACTGCGTCTGAAAAGTTAAAGGAGAATTTTTAACCAGTACCAGCACTGCTAAGTTCTACCATACATCTTCCTCATGTGAGTTGGACATTGTTTTATATTAAATAGTCTGTGCTGAGATCCCAGTTTTACTTTATTTATTACCAAGTTCTTAGTTTTCGCCTCCATACTTCTTCAATGTGTAGTCTTTGAGGATGGTAT